CCCATGAGCCCTAAACCCTACCCTAAGCCCTAAACCCTAAACCCAAAACCCAAAACCCAAAACCCAAACCCTAAACCCTAAACCCCATGAGCCCTAAACCCTATCCTAAGCCCTAAACCCTAAACCCTAAACCCTCAACCCTAAACCCAAAACCCAAAACCCTAAACCCTAAACCCCATGAGGCCCTAAACCCTACCCTAAGCCCTAAACCCTAAACCCTAAACCCTAAACCCTAAACCCTAAACCCTAAACCCAAAGCCCAAAACCCAAAACCCAAAACCCTAAACCCTAAACCCCATGAGCCATAAACCATGTCTTCCGAGGCTCCCATGGCTCCAGCTGTTGAGGAGGCTCACCAAGTCGTCGTCATCGACGCAGAGCAGCGGCGAGTCCAAGATCTCCTTGAAGGGATGTCGTGGAGGTGGCTCCATGGTGAAGGGGTTTAGGTTTTAGGGTTTAGGGTTTAGGGTTTAGGGTTTAGGGTTTAGGGTTTAGGGTTTAGCTGACTGATCTGCTCAGAGACATTTGGTCACGGATTGCTGACGCTTGGCCAAGGTCTGGTTTTATATTTGGTGGTTCAGGGGTTGCGAACTGCCGTAGCCTTCCTTAAACGGTAAACGGAACTTTGACCGATGAACTTTTCCGAATGATCTCTGTCTTTGGCAGCAGCATCACCATACGACATCCCGTTTAATTCCGAAAGCCCTCATTGTCATGTCCCGGAAACCCAAAAACCTGATGTAGGGGCCTTGATACTTAGAACAGGGATTTCAAGGTTCGTTATACCATAATATATAAGGAACCCCAACAATAGTTATTGGTACTTATCTAGGCCCCTAAACCCTAAACCCTAAACCCTAAACCCTAAACCCGCACCCTAAACCCAGAAGGCCCCCAGTCCCATAAGAGCTAAGTCCTCGCAGCCTTGTGTCAAAAACTCAAAGAGCTTACGGGCCCAAGGGTTTAGGGTTTAGGGCTTTGGGGTTTAGGGTTTAGGGGTTTAGGGTTTAGGGTTTAGGGTTTAGGGATTTAGGGGTTTGGGGTTTAGGGTCTTTAAGCCTTGAAGGGACTGGTTTAGGGTTTAGGGAGAGCCCGTCGTGCTCCTCCAACAACCTCGGTCGCAGGTTTGGGCGGATCTTCAGCGCAGCCTGCAGAACAGAAAGCTCCCCTACAGGGGACAGATTAGGGTTCAGGGTCTAGGGTTCAGAGCAAGTTACGGTTTGGCTGCCAAGGCTGTGGCGAACAAGGCAACATGCAACCAGGGCCAATCCACACTCTGAATGCAAACCAAATACCTCCGAGGCCACACATATCTACACACACAACCTTGTAATCACCCTTACAAAAGTGCTTTTGCCACCTGAAAAAACGTTCGTTCCTTCTGCTCTTGCCTTTGCCGATCCTGACTCTGAGGCTCCAGTTGTCAATAACCATCACATACTATAGGGGCCTTAATGATTAGAAGTTTTTTTTTGGGGTGGGATATTCTACTATAGTTATAATAAGGAGCCCTCGAAATAGTATCGGTATTTATTTAGGCCCCTACATTACCCACTAAGTACTACGACGGTCCTAAACCGAGAAAAGCCATCGTATAGAAACCTCTTGATAGCTTCGGTAGTCGTTCCGACCCCTAAATGGGAGTTTCCGAAATTACGGGGTACCTTATCTTGGGGCCCTTATAAGAAGGATCCTACTATTTAGGGTACTATATTAGGGTCCCCTATCTTTCGGAAACCCCTACATGGAAACCAGAAAGTTGGAAAATTAGCAGCCTGATGCTCCTAAGGTAAAGCAGAAGGGATCCCAGCACTAATCATCCAAAATCCATGTTCCAAC